GCAGGAATGTACTAGCACTTGTACCTGCAGAGAGCATGCGCTCTTGGAAGGGATGGGCAGGGAAAGAACGGTGAAGCTCTCGGGTCTATCGGTGGTGGTCTTGCATTCCAGACACGTGATATCGTGAGTGAGTTGTCCCTCAAATAACTGTGTGATAATAGATGTTTCACTGACACTCCCTGTGCTTGCTTTTGCATCAGCTATGCATCTTCTGCTTGACTATACAGAAGAAAAAAAAAAATTAACAAAATGTAGGTCACCAACTGTTTCAGAAGTGCCTTCATTGGGTTTTAACGGTTGCTGCCCACTGCCTGCAGAGGCTAATAATTAGTCTTGTCACAGAACTTGGCTCTAAAATGCTATTACTTTACTTGATGTTTCATACATGCAGAATAAGCTAAATTCTTTTTCTGAGATAAACACAAATATTCTGGACATGAGGCAGCAGTGATTTAATTGCTAGACAAACTCTTTGTCAGTGGATCTGAAGAAGAGAAAGGCAGATGTGGGGGCATGGCAGATATGAAGGTTTCAGGCAGATGAAAAAGGGGAAGAATGTAAAGTGTGGAAGGAGTGAGAAGAGAGAGATGAGGATAATGGAGCTACAGACAGCATAATTTAGGTGTGGGTTGCAATTTGATGTAGCATTAGACAAGAAGCAAATTAATTATTGTGTGTACATGCCTATGAAACAAAGGAAGAAAATTACAATTTTTAGCAGCCGCATCACATAGTTCAGAAGAGGAGGATAGGCAATTATTACATGGAACGCTAAATCATGAAATGCAAAGAGGAAACAGCTACGGTCCCCAAAACACTGCAGCTGGGCTCTTACCTTCTTGAGAGCCTCATGGAGCTCATTCAGCACAGTGATCAGAAACTCCTGTGCATCCTGCTGAGTCCTCTTGCTAAAAGTTGGGTACCGCTTCCCAAGAACTGAATGAAAAACCTCTGGGGAAACACAGTCAAACTTTCCAAGCCACATATCGGACATCAAACAGCCAAAGGCAGTCGCAGACTCACCATTCTCCCTTGGAAAAAATAAACATAGGTTTCAGGTAAAGTACGAAAAGATGGTGGCTCTACCTTCAAATGGGAGCATAATACATAACTTCTTAGAATATACGCAGGTACACTACAGCTCTGACAGCCTGTCATTCGGTTTGCGTGACTCTGCAGGTACTAGAAAGTAGTAGGAATCAGCATTGAGGCAGCGGTGACAGTAACTGGTGTTACCATCAAAATGACAAATGAAGTATAATGCTTAAGTTACCCAGCAAGGAAAGGACTCAGGGTCTCGGAGGAAGGAGAAGGAAACCAGCTTGTGGCCAGTTTGACCGTAACTGCCTGGCAGGGAGCTGGTAGGTGGCTGCTTCGGACATTCTCGTGGCAACACATATCCTTTGGAGGGAAAACAGCAGCACCAAGCCGAAAAATAGAAGTAGCGTGAATAAATCAACTTACTTGCGCAGGGCTGCTTTGTACTCTCCTGAGAGGAAATACTCCACTAGCGGTGGCACGCTGCAGAGGCACTGCAAAATCGCGTTCATGTAGCATGTGTTGCCCAGATTCCTCAGGCCAGTGAGCCCTGGGTGCTGGTTCATCTCCTCCATCAGTTCCTTGCAGCAATACTTCACACTTTCCAAGCAAATGGAGTCATACTTCCCCCTGCTAGGAAAAAAACAACAGTGGAAATCTGAACTGCTTACGGTGCTTTTTGTGTTACGGTTTTTAGAAAGTGGTACTGTCTCGAGGAGATGTTTCCTCGCTGTTTCAGGATCTTCTTTGTAAGTTACATTCGGATTTATTTTTATCAAGCTAATACCATGGTAAAGACTCTCTATCTCCCACACTAAGGTCTTCCCAATACAGCAAATAGATAATTAAGAGATATTATTTAAATTCCTGAGGTTTTAGAGTTATTCCTAAAATTCAACTCAGTCTTTGACTCCATACACAATTACTCAAAAACTATAACCAGGTGTAAACAGCTATCTTAAGTATTTCTCCCTACAGAATGCATATTGTAGTTGATTTCCTCGGTGATCTGGTACTTCTATGTTTACTAAAACCATAGGTTGCCGTCCAGGTGCTACTATAAACTGGCTGCTCTTTAGACTTTTTCTATAAAACGCTATTTAATTCATGTTACTAAAATTTTAGTAGGTTTGTTTTCTTGATGCACAAGCCTGTCCTGGTCCGCACTGTCCCACCCCAGTTAGGCAGGAGAGGTCTGAACACAGACCCTGCACAAGCCAGATGTACTCGCTGATGTTGCTGTTCTTGAATTTTTAAAGGCTGCAATTTTATTCTGATGCAGAACATGGAAACATTCTGAAACCTCAACAATCTCTGTAGAACAAGGAAAGCCTTTTCTTTCCCTTCAGCTGTGCCCAAGTTCCCGTTTCTGGAGATCTCCCAGGCCGACAGCCATTTTCTATCATCTAATAGCTACAAACAACTACAAAACTGTTTCCTTTTAAATTTCAGTAACAGCAGAGCCAACACTTCCAAACAGCTCTACCTATAGACCAGTCTCCTACGAAAATGCTTAATTCCCTCTTTTATAGCCATCTCCGAGAAACACCAACTTGGAGGAGAAAACACGCTGGGCCCGGCGGGTATGGAGCTGGCTGGGAAGCCGCGGGCAGCCCCGCAGGGAGCCCGTGCTTGCCCCAGCTCAGGGCGGCTGCCTCTTGCCCCCTCTCCTTCATACCATCACCTCTTCCGTCCAGTTTCAGGGCATGACGACACGGTCCCGCGTGTCCCGTCTCATCCCCTGGGCTACCCTCGCCCCATGGCTTTGTGATGCCGTTCTGTTCCGCCTCTTCTCCCAGGGGAGCCACCCGGCTTGAAGTGCCTCCACCTCCTTCCTACCCGCCACCCAAAACAATCTCGGGAAGAGACGGGCTCCCGCCTGTCTCAGCCGGACCCACGTTTATTCACGTTTGCTCGTATTTGTATTAGTGTTCATTACTGCCATGCTCTGACCAAAGGGCAGCAATGACTGAGGGTGTTGGCCATAAAAAGATGGCACTACCTCAAAACAGCAGGCTGACTTAGTTTACCGGTGTTTAGAAAACTTTTCTGGGAGAAAAAGGGTAGTGGCAGAGAAGTGTCTTTTAATTAGCTAATGAGACTGTAGCTGATCTCTGAATTCCATACACCACTGAAGAGCAGCACGTTTTCCCTATTTAACATACAATTTGGGAAGTAACAAGGATCCACAGAAGAGGCCCAGGAAGCCATTAAAAAATCCCTAATTATCTTACTTGTTAAGCTTCAGGCAAAAGATGTCTCCAGGCGCTCTTCGGACAGCTCACCTGTCGCTGCTATGAATCTCTCCAACTGTGTATCTGTGAACTGAGATACAAAGACAACACACAGCCCGCCCCCCACTATTCAAAATCTGATCTACGTTTTTGTAAATGGAACCGTAATATTGGACATAAGAGTTTCAGATGTTTTAAAATCTAAATTATAGTCCCATGGGTTAAACCTAAAATTTTAAACAATATGTACAAATGCCTGAATACGTACACCGACAAGCGAGTATATTCAAGGGTTTTTTTCCACCCTGAAATATTGGTTTAAAGTTTTGTTAACAAATCTCAACTAGCTAGGAATTCAATCCTGCCTCTTTCTGCAAATTCATCCGGTTCAAATATGCAAAACAGGACATGGAAATGCAATGCATTCTCCCCTACCGGGCTGTGATTGTTGGTATCTATATGGAGGTACTTCCTCAAAGGGCTATAGACAAAACGCAGGGACAAGTACATGTTGCAGATTTATCGAAAGGCCCGCTGCAGAGCAACTGCAGTTGACTTGTTCTGCTTTGGATAACTGAAATACACCAGACATTTCCATTACACGTGCAGAGTAATTATGTGCTCTCATCCGTATGTCTGCGTAGGTATCGACTGAAGCCTGTAATACATCTGTAGTCTGTACAGAAGTATAGGACTGCTATAGGACTCTGAAAGCATTCTGATGGAGCCTTCATTCTCTTTTCTATGAGACTATCTCCAACATTTCTGTGATTCCAAGGTCCCTTGCTTATTCCTGCAGCCCTTCGGGTCGGGGGGGACTATGAATGAACTTCTAATAACATACACTAACACACAAATAAAATTCAAACGGGAATTAGGACAGTTGCAAGATTTGTGAAAATATCAAGAAAGGACAAGAACAGTAAGGAATTAATTTTACTTTATTGGAATTTAGTCACTTAGATAAATTGTATTCCATGGGATGACTCCATGTTTTTCCTGATTTTATCTTCTTTTTGACAAAACAGTCATGGTAAGTATCCGTTCCCAGTTTGGAATAAGGGTACACTGCCAGCAGCTTGCGCTCTTCTCCTGGTTAATGAATTTTTGACGCTTTGGGTGATTTTTCTTAGTGTCTCCTTTATCCTTCATTTTAGCAGCTTTTCCACTCTAAAAAAAAAAAACCAAACCAAAAAAAGTAAAAATCAAAACTGCAATATTCTTATGATGAGATGCATAACTTCACATCTTGTTAGGGTAAGAAAGGACCAAGAAGGCTTTCTGTCACTAGCTTACCTGTCATGCAGTTATAAATACCCCTTCAAAGAAAGATAACCAATAATATAAATTGGTTTTATTCTTCTGTCTTCCCAAGAACCAATTTTGTCCCTGGCGAATGACATCAGTGCTTCCAGTACTCGTCTATCTATGTTCCTAGTTGCTCCTGGCACATCTTTCCTACCTCTGGTCTCTCTCACGACTGGCAGATGCGATTCACACAGCCGCATCCCGGTTCCTGGTCTACATGGCTGCTCTCTTCCCGCCGCCTGTTCGGGCTCAGGGGATGTCCCTCCCCAATCTCCACACGCAAGTGGAACAGGAGCCAGATGATACTAGTTATTAAGTCTTTCTTAGAGCAAATACCATATTTTCTACCATGGGCTTAACAGAACATACTGACTGATGCTCATGGGGGATGGAGGAAGCCAGATGTTTTATGCAAACATAGGGAAAGGCTGAGCTAAGGCCACGGCTGAGGAATGACCACAAACATCCCACTCGAAGAAACAAAATCCTAGCAAATTTCTACAACAGATGTGCTCAGTTGCAGCAAGGGTGTGAGGGATGAGGAAGCTTCCTCCTGCCTCATGTTGCCTTCCAAGGGCAGCTTTCATTCATAGTTAATTGCATTTTTGTGGAAACAAGATGAGAGAAGGCTGCCACTGGTTGCAATGGTCATTACTCACATCTTCTGACAAGGGAAAGCCTGAAGTTTCCATCTCAGAAAATATTCAGCTCACCATTTTTCTTGACTTCAAAGCTCCCTGCAAGAAAGAGTTTTTCAGATACTCTTGAAAAAGCAGTTTGTCCTAATCCTCCTCTTCTGCTCTGCAACACCCCTCAGCAATTGTTGTGGCTTAGTTTCCACTTTTACTACTACTTACATCCCTGTCCGTATCTCACATTTAGTATAAACCCAACAATATAGCAGCATGGCACAAACACGGAAAACCACTGCCTGGAATTTTTTTTTTTTTTTTTTTTAAATTAACTTCTGGTGTAGTTCAACAACACATGCTGACATGTCTTCACCCTTCTACATGGTGAAATAATACTGAGATGTATTTCATTATTGCTAATGAAACAGTAATTCGTCTTACATCCCCCAACATCTCTTACCTTTCCTGCCCACTTCATCTGGGATCTCCACATCAGGCACTTGCCCCTTGGCAAGCTCCTGTTACTGGACTAAATATTCTCATCATCTACTCTAAAAAAATCAAATGCACAAAAATAAATTACAATCCCCAAAGGCTTAGCAGGTACAAATTGTTCACAAGCTTCACGTTTACAAGTGATGTGCTAGTGCATGCAACGACAGTATTTTCTAGAGTAATTTGATACACTTAAGTTCTGGCGCCAGTGTAGCTGATATGAAGGGATTGTGTCTTGATTTTACTCCATTAATGAGCGAGCAGTGTGCTCCATGAGCACAGCCAACTAGTTATTTAGTGCAAGAGCACCAAATAAGATATGTTGCAAAACGTACTGAGAACAGTAGACCAAAGGAACCAAGTAATTTGTTTTTCTTATACGGGACGGAACAATGACACTGCAAACTATTTAGCAGTTGGCAGCATTAACAAGGGCTGTTTCAACTTCTAATTCTTAAAAATATTCTTACCAAAAGTAAGAGTCCTTGCCTTCCTACAGAGGGGAACACATTAAAGAAAAGATGGAACATAACTTGGAGAAACATTGAAAAGCAAGTACTATGGTCACATACAGGCTGATGGCAGCATTAAAAAGCATTTTTTGAAACAGTTATTGGGAAACAGTAAGTTAAATTCAATTTGTAATAGCTGTCATGCAGGTAGAACAAAATTTTATTGAAAACTAGAAATCACTGAAGTCATTAAATGTATTGTCAGTGTTTTAAAAAGACTATAAATCCACATAGCTGAATTTTAATACTAACAATCAGCAATGCTAACGTTTCATCATTCAAGAAGGCAAAAGCATATGCTTATTCCTACTTTTTGTGGAATCCGAATCAAGACCTTGATTTACTATTATAACACAATACACAAATGCACATCAGTGCTACCTACTGCAAGCTC